CTCAAGTACAGATGGGAATGGCTTAATTCTAAATTCCTCCTAAAAAATCTGATGCTAATTAACAACCCAATAATTTCTGCCTTGAATGGATTACAGATATCAATGCAATCAAATCCTAATTACTGGAATAAAAAAAGTATTCCCCTCTTAGTTTCCATCATGAATAAATTCCAATATACCCCAAATTTATTTTCTAGCGACTTATTTCCGTGTCACAATTTTGAATTAGAATATCAATTAACTTCTATCCCTATTAGGAATGTGCAATCTAATAAAAGTGATGAACATGCATTAATTCAATTTCAAAGAATCTCACTTGACAATCCACTTCACACTATAATCTTTACGGATGGGTCAGTTGATAATAAGGGCTCAGCAGGATTTGGTGTTTTTTGTCCTGACTTTGAATACTCATACTCTAGTAAACTCCCTACGCAGACTCAAGTTTGCACTGCAGAGATTATTGCAATTAATCATGCGGTTCAATTTGTCTTGGAGAAGGATATCAAGAGGGCCTTAATCTTGTCTGATTCTAAGAGTGCTATCCAAAAGATAGGGAAAACATCTTACTCAATGGAAACTGAACATACCTCTATCATGACCAAAAGGGGCATTATAGAAGCCAATCAACAGAACATCAGTATTATTTTGGCTTGGATTCCAGGGCATTCTGATATTAAGGGCAATTGTGTTGCAGACAAATTGGCAAACATAGGAAGATCACTAAAAATGCCAGCCAAAGTTAAATTGCATTATTCAAACTACTTATTTTATATTAAAAAGCTAATTTGGACTCTATGGGCACAAGAATGGAATTCAAATAGATCAAAAGGGTCGTTTTATAGAAAAATAGTCAATACATGGAACAAATCACCATGGTTCAATCAATTTCCTTATAAAGACAGAAGGCATATCACCACAGTAATTAGAATGAGAACAGGACATTGTTCCACTCCCGTTCATTTATTCCGCATAGGTATTAAGGACAACCCGTACTGTGAATGTGGTCAAATTGGATCTCTGAATCATATTATCCTAGAGTGTCCAATAAACGTTTCTCCAAATTTTGACCTCTACAAAGAATTGGTTAAAACAAAACTACAAACTCCTATAGAGATATGCTCTTTCCTATCCAATCTTAATCCTCAAAGACTAAATTTATTGATTACTTTTCTTAATCTAGCCAAAATCAATCTATAATTATATATTCCTATCTTATCTACTATAACACAAACTTACAAATTATTCTCTTTTTCCACCTGGGTTCTCTATCATCTGTTGGTAGAAAAAAAGAAAAAAGAGGAACTTGGACAGTCCACAGTAAAGTAGCTATTGAATTAAGTAGATAGCTGCAGAAGAGTTTGCTGTGGAACTCTGAGGACCTCATCAAAAAAGACTATGAAGAAAAAGACTGGTTGTGCCTCCAAGCGAGAAAAGTTTTATCCTGTGTTGAATAGACTTTCCTATACTAACTGTTTGGCCCAAGAAGAAGAAGTTTCGACATAGTGCTCATTCAATATAAAATAATTTCAATATAGTGTTAGCTGGGCAAATTATCCCCTGAGATATTACCCAATAAAGGAAGAAGAAGAAGAAGAAGAAAACTAAATCTCAAGGTTAGTAGATATTTAAGTAGATACTTAAATATCTACTAACCTTGACTAAATCTGACAAAACTCCATACAACACAAAACATTTCTGGTGACATTTGTCGCCAAGTGACGTCACACGACTGATCGCGTGCGCGTGGGTTTATCTGTAGTTTATAGTATCATGCTTTAATCGTATATCAGCATATAATTTTATTATAAAATTTCTGAACAAATATGAAAAACTTAAATTTTTGTGACTGATCATAATAATTTGATCACCCACTGTATATAGTAATTTGTGCCATTTATTTTTGTAACTGTTTGTGATAAATGTTTGACTTATTTCTCTAAACCATTTTTTTATTTATTTAGAAAAAAAAAATGTATACCCTTTTTTGAGTTTCATTTAAAAAGATGTGTTTTTAATTACTAATAATTATTTTAATAGTTACAACTAATTGTTCTTCTCGTTATAATTTGGCACCTCGAAGCGGCGTCCATTTTAAATTCCTAGAGGTCTCTCTTGTGTTTTGTTTTGTTTGTTCCAGAAGATTTATGTAAGTACCCCTTTGATTCTTTTTTGTAGTTGCCCCAATTCAACCCCCTTGCCATTTACTTATCCACGACCCAGCTACTCCAAATAAACCCTGAGTGCCGTTCGCATAAGTATTGTTTATTTTTCTTGCCCTATCTTCACCCCCAATAATTTCTGTCCCAAGATTTCAACCCCCACAGTAATAGTCTATGTGGTAAGCAAATATATTAGTTACAACATTCATTCCTAATTCTGTTTAGAAGAATATGCAATAGTATTTTAACGGAATATTCATTAACCTAATGAATCTACAATCGTTAAATTTCTTAACGAGCTAAAGATTAATTTGAAGAAAACTATGCAAACTAACTGGATGCAAACATCCAATCGATTATTGAAGATGCTGTAATTGAGAGTATGTATACCTACAAAAACGTGGGAACATGGATAACATCAAATGTAGACCAAACTAAAGAAATTAAGACACGTACTGAAGTAGCTCGCGCATCATCGATTATACTTTAAAAGTTTCTTTTTGTCAAGATGCTCTCTACTCTTTTTTTGGCTTGGATACTAAATAATTATGCACTAGTACTTATATGCACAGTTTTATGCACTAAAATAAAAAATGCGTATAAATATGTTGGGTCATTTGAATTTTGGTATTACAGATCATGGTATTATCATGGATTCAAAGAATGTCAAACGTGGAATTAGATGGATAGGAAATGAAGTGGAAATAATATTGTAACGTCGGAAATCTTTTTTGGGTGGTGCTAGAAAGGTAACCAATGGAGACACTGCGGACGGCAGCCAGATGGTTGGTGGAGAGCGAGTCGTGGGTTCGAAACTAGCTTTTGGAACCGGGAATGGATCCAACGGAAGAAATAGGTAAACATAGGATAAGAGATATTAGAAAAGATACAGAAATAAACAAAAAGATAGATGGGTAAAATTACCAAAGATAAGAGAAGATAGAAACAGGGCGCCACTCAATTTTTTGGGGTTAAGGAGAAAATTAAGAAAACCTTAGAAAAAAAAAAGAGATAAGAAAAGATATTTAGGTTCAGAGATCAAACCCAAGGAAAGATACCAACAGTAAATTATCAAATAAATCTGGTCAACGCAATATATGAACAAATAATAAATATATTAAGTATTACACTTACTTACCTACGAAACTTAATCAGCCTGATCTTTCTACAGTTCAAAAGCAGAGTAATATTTAAAGATAGTAATTGTTCAGAGCTATTATTTTATCAGGTAACTTGTTAGGAGCTGACAAATAAAATACATGCATAAAACAATAACAATATATTAAACACAAAATTATGATTCTGCCAAATGCAACACAAGTAATAAAAATACACAACTATGAAATGGTGTTATATATGTATAAAATTAAGCAATAATGTAATAAGAAAATACCTTTACCAAGATATATAAGGCAATCATATACAAATATAGATTGGCGTATCTCGAGATATCATAGGAAAGATAATGAACAAAAATTATAGGAAATACAAAAGATAGCAAAAATTACTTAACTCTAAATGTACAAAAATACAAAAAGGTTACAGAAATAAAAACATAAACCAAACCGCACTTGGTTAAGTCAATTAAATATCTCGCACTATTATTTAATAAAAAATTGAGACTTGCATGTTCATAGGTATTATTTATAGAAATGTATTGAATGGTTCTTTAAATTACATTCAAAAATCGGCAATCTACAGGTGAAGATATCGATGATACGTCCAGATAATGGCAGGTGATATGGTACCATACCATATTACTCGCCCAGATAATTGTAGATAAAGATTACTTACAGTAGATCTTGACGAAGGCAGCTTAATTCACTGAATTTAATACTTTTCTGGTACTAAACACTGAATTTAATAACCATTAAAGGTAGTGTAGAACTATATATAATTGAATATAGTCTAAGGAAAGAAACCTCAAATATAAAGTGTATACACACTTAGAAAATAATTCACAAAGACGATACGATAAGAAATAAAGTGAGCAAAGCGTAACACGAGATATTGGCCTTAACTCGACAACGGCCCATCGAGAAGTCTCACGAGATATTACCTCACTCAACAACTGCCCACCAACAAGTCTCACGAGATATTACCTCACTCAACAACTGCCCACCAACAAGTAAATTGGTTCCACTAAAAATTTTTAATATATATTCCCCCACTCAAGAATGATAGGACAGTCGTATGTGTTTCTCAGAAGGTAAGGCCTTAACGACTATTGGAAAGTTTGAGGTAAAATAATCGGTATTAACAATTGGACATAAGAAACAGACAATACTTGGGATTAAGTTATTGTCAAAAGATATGGGCCTTCGACGAAAATTACCAATTTATGAAAAGGAAACTGCATACCGGAAAGCATTTGTTCTTTTCATACAGAGTATTAAGACGGAAGGATTAAAAACCTTTCTTAATTAGGGAATTCCATTTTAGCTTGGTATCTACAATATTATCTTCCTATCGTAAACACGGGGATTCCTAATCATCGGCGTATCGCACGGGGGTAAAAGGAATTAAAAATAATTTAATATATTAATAATAAAAAAAATGTTACAATATTAACTATTAAAAGACGAAAACTTGAGAACTTGAGGGAATAGTTTGAGTGTAATAGTGAAGAACTATTTAGAACGAATTCGGCGGTCAACAGGGTCCGCATGAGCTTCCGCAAATGAGCGCTTTATTATCAAATAAAAAACAATGTTTTAAAATAAAATAAGCCCATAATACTCAAAGGATAGAAGATTTTAACTTAAAAATAGTATTTGTTAATATCAATAAAAAATGATTTTTAAGGAATATGTTAAAATATAAACAAGTCATTTTATTCTAAAAAATATATTTCTACTTATCGTTTTAAAATAAATTTAAATCTTAAACTAATGGTTTGTTTTCTGTATTTGAGTACAGCATTGATAATAGTCCAGTGGCTAAAACAAAATATCCGTTATAAATATATTTTAATTTAAATATAAATTTAACAAAAACTATCCTACTTTTTAGGTCAAAAACATAGTTACAAGAATTATTACACAAAGATTTACATATTTTTAGGATGCTTCAAAAAGATAGCTCTTGAATATACCGGTGAGCTGTGTCACGCCGCCAAGAACAGAATTCTAGTAATGAGATAGTCGCCTACGCACTTTGGTGTATGGCATGTTAAGAAGAAGAAAGAATATAGAAGAAATATAATTGAAATATAGTTTATATATAAGTTTCCTTACCAGATGCAAATATTCCTATAAATAAAAATGGGGGTAAACATCCCATCTGAACCAAGTAGGGAAAAATTGCATTTCCTAGAGTAGTCCCGAAACGCTGTGCTGTTAGATGAATTGATAACGCTATTGTTCTAAAAATAAACACAAATTAGTTACTATATAGATCCAAATTTATAATTTATAAGAAAGAAAATTTTAATGTCAGTCAATCTTTTTGGGATACTTCCCGGTACTATTTATAGCTCAGGGAAATAAGCATTTTTTCATGACACTCGTCCGGCCAGGCAAACGACAGTTGTTTTGAGTAGTACGGACCTCTGTAACAAAAACCTATATGTTTCCTGCAGTCGATTTTTTGCACTTAATTAGTTATTAACAAATTAAGGTCAAAAAACGGAAAATTTTAGCTTTTTTCGTCTATCAGCAAAAAGTGAAGCAATTTAAACAAATTTTGGAAGAGAGGAAACTTATAAGTTATATAAAAACCTTCAAAACCAACCATATTTTCTACCAAGTAACCAAAAACAAAATTTGATTAATTTATTAATGTTCTGTATTCTGAGAAAGATTTCCGAAGTAGAAATCGAAACGTCAAAAATAAACTTATTATAAACTTAAACTGTGGCTTATTCCCCAAAATATAGGAAATGACAAATACTTCTGTTTTACATTTAAACTTAACTTAAATACTACTAAAAAAAATTTAAAAAAATTGTTTTTAAACAAATTAGGTGGTTTATTTGACAATTTATTTATCGAAATAATGCATATTCGTGATGTACGCAAAAAGTACATACACGTTCAAAAAGAAACGTTGAAATACATAAAAAAAGGAACAGAGATACAGTTAACAGCGCCTTCCCCCTCCCTTCAGCTCCCGAGAGTTTCAAAGCCGACTGATTTTACATACATTTTGAAGCTTTGTGGAGGATTCCATTAAAGGGCAATAATTTTAAAATTTAGTACTTTAAAACTATAATGTACATTCTTTCAAATAGCGCTAATTAGATTTCTTAATTGTTATAAACAAAGGTGCTATGAATTAAATAAAAAAAGAGGCTAACTTTGTACCAAATTATTTTAGGACAATTTTTTTTTTATTTAAATTTGTGAAAAAATTCAAGCTTTTTAAATATGTAAAAATAATATTTTGCAGTCAATAGTCAAAAAGTTATTCTAATTGTTTATTAGCAAAAAATCGACATGTTTTTGCAAAATTATTTTGCAATCTTTAAAATTAATTTTCTTAATTTTTTTTAATGTAAATAATAAAACAGGCCTTGTTCTACCAGAAACAACCCTTAGTATTACTAAAACTGTATAAATTTCTGACTTATATTGTTGCAAAAAATGTTAATTTGGGAAAAACAAATAAAATAACTTTTAAACTATTGGACCGATCACTTTGAAATTTTGACCCTATTTTAAGCACTACAAGACACATCATTCCATGAAATATAAATATTATAAGTTTATTTTTAAAAAAGTTATTAACATTTATAAAAAAACCGAAATTCTTGACTTATTTTGCAACTTTCTAAGCAACAAATAAGGATAGAAACATTTTGAAAACGCAATTTTGAAGGTTTTTATATAACTTATAAGTTTCCTCTCTCCTAAAATTTGTTTAAATTGCTTCACTTTTTGCTGGTAGACGAAAAAAGCAAAAATTTTCCGTTTTTTGACCTTAATTTGTTAATAACTAATTAAGTCCAAAAAATCGACTGCAGGAAACATATAGGTTTTTGTTACAGAGGTCCATAGTACTCAAAACAACTGTCGTTTGCCTGGCCGGACGAGTGTCAAAAACAGGGTACTTTTTTGCTTATTTCCCTGGCCTATTATACCCGATACTATTTATTCACTCTTAATTTCCATTCTAAAATTTTTCTAGTCCATTGTATTTAATTCTGAATATGTTCTACCCACCTCCATTTAAGTTTAGCTATGTGCTGTATATCATATACATCAATTCTACGAATTTACCGTGTCACTTCGTTTCCTATTCTGTGACTCCAAGTTGTGCCCGATAGTGATTTCCTCATTCTACATTGTGTCCCTTATAGTTTACATTCAGATGTGTTTGTAAAATCAAGAATGGACAGAGTATCTTGGTTTTGTACTTTTTATCTGTGAATGTGATTTATGTGAATGTTGGTTTGTCATAGGTATACAACATCGTGTAGAATTCTTAAACTATTTTTAGTACTGATTCTCTGTTTTTTGTCATATTACCATATTTATCGCTTAGATTTCATTTCTACTTGCTGCTACTTTTCATCTCATTACTTGCATGCTTTTATTTTATTCTATCGTTTGTACAATTCTTTCGTTTTGAAATATTCTAATATCTCTTCTCATGGCATTCGATATGTCTTTATTAAGTGCCCTTATTTGTTGTGGATCAATGTTTCTCTCACTTTGTAATTATCTTCTTTCTTTTATCATGGTATTGTTCTAAAATAATCTTTAAATTTCGTTTAATGTTTGGACAGAATTATGATTGTGCTAGTTTATCAGCTATTTATTTGTTTGACTCATTTACATCGCTTGTCGACATATAGTGTTCAACGGTACTATGTTCTGTACCTGCTACATTTCATGTGGGTACTCAGTGCAAATACTTCTGTTTAACATATAAATGGGTTGATATATATTCTAATCAATCAGCAAAAAAAAACACTAACTTACCTTAAAGTTGTTGGGAACAATTCTAAAGTTATAGTAAGTAATAGGTTTTCCGGTACACTTCCAACAGCTGTTCCAGCCGCCGATAAAATGGTTACAGCTAGTGAACTCCTTGCAAAGTAAATGCAAAACATACATGTGGCACTAATGAATGTTAAAATAACTAAAAGAAAAAAAAAAGAAAACGTGTTTAATTTATATGTTTATCTTTGGTTTATTATTGCAATAATGAACGTGATGATGAAATAACACATTCATTGTTTGTTATATGTTCCATATGATTTGGTATTTTACCCAACTCGTTTTATTGATTCGTATCTTTGCTAAGAATTTTATAATACTGTAGTATTTTTACAGATGGGGAAAATTTTTTCCATGCATCCTTCTTATATTTCTTCTGTAGACATTCTCGGATACCCTGTATCTTTTTTTAGTAGTATTCCCAATTACAGAACGTTGACGACCAAATTGGTTTGAATAATTTTGTTTGTTGTGACGGGTAGCTCTATTATACACCAGATTCAGTAAAATGCAAATCTAATTTAAATAAAAATAAATTCAGATAAATAACAAAAATTCAATTTATTCCTATACAATATTAAATATAAATAAAAAGTCGATGGACTGCAGTTCGACGTTGATTCCGGTCAAGAGAAAATATGTTAGGGGCGTTCAAATTGATAAGAAAAAGAACGGTCTTTAGTCAATGTTAAAAAAATTCTCCTTAGTACTCAGAGACCAGGAGGTACAAGATCAATACTCCGAATCGAACTTAGTTGATGACGTTCTTCACGATATTTTATACTTTTGACAATAGGGGATATAACTCCCGCGAGTTGTACAGTGGTGACAGCGGAGCCAGTATATTACAGGTGTTTAATCTCCAGTGCGCATCGATAGTAGTGGTAGGTTGTTGATGAGAGTACTGGTATACAGCATGATACAAATAAACGTATCTTTATATCAAACAAATTTTAACAAAAGTATCCTTATATCATGGGTATACAGAGAGAGAGAGAGGGTCAGCTGTTGGTTGATGGTGACATCGTTACAGTGTGACATATTGTAATAGATCGGCGGATATCTAAATATACCATCCTCAGATATTTCTAATATTATCTCCCACTTTATCTCTCTTAACCACCAAATCGACTTTGAGAATATTAAGTCTCTAGGAACTGAGAATAATTTCTATAAGAGATCCTTCCTGGAAATGTGCCATATATTAAGGGAAAAAACTCCATGAACAGACGTACTGACATTGATAATCTCAGCATCATTTATCACTCCTTGCTGTTGAATATTCCTTAAAATATTTCTAGTTTAATGTTACATTTCACAATTTAACTTAGGTAAGTACACCTAAATCCGATCAAGACATGGCCTAAATTTTTCAGTTTTTGTCCTCTAGGAAAAAACAGCTACCATCGGTTCTACCTTGATACTTCAAAATTATATCCCTATATTCATTTCAACGAGAACTTTAGCAATCTTCATACATCTTACTTCGATGTAAAATCCTTTTCAAAAGGAACCAACATGGTGAGTCTAACAAATTCATATCACATTATAATTCATTTATATTCACTAATTTTAGGTTCCCCAGCAATGGTCATCATTAAATTTTATTACCAACCCTCTTATAATTAGATTTTAAACAAATTGACTTTTCTATTCTGTCCTGTAAATAAGTAATTTTGTCATCAGTTAATTTTTCATACAGATACTGATTTCCAAAGTCATTTTATTTTTTGTTTTACTTTTCGGAATAGTTGATCCCTATCTATCAAAAATATTCCCTTTTTTTTTCTTTTAATTACTTTGGTGTATCTAACAATACAGTTACTTCCATGCTTTTTTCAATACAAATAGTTTTTTCAAATTGTTCACTGAGCTCAATAAAAACAAGATACTTTTTCTCCTGGCTTCATGTTTCGAGATATTTTACATAAGCGATAGAATAAAAGTGTTGTATTATATTGTTCTTGTTAACATATTGTGACATTTTGTAACTTTTCAATGTTTGTATAAATTTTAAATAAAATTCTGAATGTAAATTTTTTTACCATAACTTATATTGTATTTATTTAATGTATTTTATAACATCTCAACATATGCATTTGACATTGTTTGACATCTATACATGACTTTACAATCATTAGAACTGAAGAAGTGCAGAAATACTGCACGAAACGTTTTCTATTAAAAGATTGAAATAGTTTTTTCATTTTTTATTTCTCCTTGACCGATATCCTCATTTACAGTGAGATTTTAATCTCATTCACATTGTATATATATATAATATACATATATGTATATATATATATATATATATATATATATATAAATATAAATATATATATATATATATATATATATATATATATATATATATATATATATATATATAGGTATATATATATATATATATATATATATATATATATATATATATATATACCTATATATTTATATATATTTAAAATTTATTCAATAGTTGAATAGCAGAGGTTTTATGGGTCAATAATTGGCAAATGAAAGTCGTTAACTACTATATTGATTTATTCGAATACGTTTCGCCTTTATTTTTAAAAGCATCATCAGTTCACTACAAATAAAAATAAAAAAGATTTTAAAATATAAGTAAACAACCAAAGGGGTTCATACTTAAAAAAACAATTTGTAGGTTTTTTTTAGATGTTATAAAAGCTCTACGATAACTTAACATTAAAACTTAACAACTAAACGAGAGAAACGAAACAAAAAAAACACAAGAAAAACAAAAACAAGAAACGGTTGCTAGCCATTTCTTCTAGCTAGCCAACGGTAGCTAAACTACCATTCGACACACCCAATCAGATATAAACTTAACCTGGTACAAGCCCTCAGCCTTAGAGTATACATGTTGACACATCCGCTTTACAAAGAAGAATCTCTCAATCTACTGAAGTCCATTCTCATAGATAACTCCTATCCGGCATCCATCATCAATAAATTTCTATATTCCAAAAGCTATGAGCAGTCCATCACTGAAACACTCAACGGGCTAACATTGGCGTCCATTTCTAACACAATACAGATGAATAAGTCCCCTCTCACTCCTAAACAAACCATAAGATATGCTTCGCTCCCGTACTTCCCACAAATCACGAACAAGCTTAACAAACTTTCCAAAAATTTACCTGTCAAAATAGCCTTAAAAATACTATAACCGTAGGAAAGTTATTTTTAAGACAAAAACTCCATTGGCCCCTCTAGAACAAACTACCGTCGTCTATCGTGTACCCTGTGCGGAGTGCAACTCCTGCTACATTGACCAGACAGCCGCTCTCTTCAAGGTCGACTAACGTTCCACAAAAGCGACATTAGGATTTTAAAACCATACTGTGCCCTTGAACAACATGCCATTTCAACCAAACACAGTATTGACTTCACGAATACCAAAATACTGTGCAAACAAAAAAATTATCATAAGCGTTCCATAATTGAAATGTGTCAAATTCTAAAACATCCATCGTCCCTAAATAAGAAAACCGACATCGACAACTTGAGCCAAATATATCACTCTTTCATCATACATAACAAATAAAAAAACCACTTACAAGACAGTAACTTCATTTCCATTCTTCTTTCCTTTTTTTTGTCTGTTTGTTTGTTTTTAAAGAAAAAGAAAAAAATTAATCCTTTTTTAAAAATAGGCCTGTCCCCGTTCCGTTCACTAACTCCCTTAATAATTGTACCTCCCTGCTTTCCAAAGAAACATATGTACGACACAAGCCACATGACATCCCACAACCGATAGAAAATAATCGAAGAGAGTGTGGTTGGATCCTCGAAAGAGCTTAAACCAACATTCAGATGAAGCCATCGGTCAAATAAACAATAGTGCTCTTACAGTTTTTCTTGTGTTTTTTTTTTGTTTCGTTTCTTTTGTTTAGTTGTTACCTAATTTTTAATGTTAAGTTATCGTAGAGTTTTCATAACATCTAAAAAAACCTACAAATTGTTTTTGTAAGTATGAACCCTTTTGGTTGTTTACTTATATTTTAAAATCTTCTTTATTTTTAGTTGTAGTGAACTGATGATGCTTTTAATAATAAAAGCGAAACGTATTCGAATAAATCAATGAAGTAGTTAAAGACTTTCATTTGCCAATTATTGACCGATAAAACCTTTGCTCTTCAACTATTGAATATATTTTAAATTTAATCAACGGTCGTATTTTTTTCTATATATATATATATATATATATATATATATATATATATATATATATATATATATATATATATATATATATATATAGTGGTTAAAGAAATAATTTATAAGTTATATACTAGCGAATATTATTTAAAAAATAATTACATGAGGGTATTTTTGAAAATTTAGCATAGGATTAAGTTTAAAAAGTTTTTTTATTTTATTTTATTATTAAATATATTTAAGTGAGCCGTGTGCATAGGCAACCAAATATACACTGTGTTATTTGACATTTTCAAAGGCTGCGGATGTGAAGTGGGGTTATTTATTAGTTTGGGATGTTTAATTTAAATATAATTACGGATGTGAAATAGTGATAATGATTAATGAAAATGAGTGAATCCCCGATTCACTCCCCGCCTCTCGACGCGTTAGTGTTCTGAGCTGTTGGACGTGAATCCCTGAATCCCTGTCCTGGTATTTGGTTTTCACCTCTGGCTGCGTTAAGTAGTTGAGTTACTGTGACCAAATGCCCATCTTGGTAGTTAGTATTCGCCTCTGGTTGCGTGGAGTAACTGAGTTACCGTTGCTAACTACCCATCTTCCTGTCTTTTGATTTCTTTTTCTTTGTTCTCCTGAAGAAGCTACATACAATTGTAGCGAAACGTCGAGATGAACCCACTTCTGGGTCACTCACAAATGACACGGTCCAAACCCGTAAGACGAATAAACTATAATTCTGACTCTGGCCGTGGAAGCCTACGATTTCATTTGATATCTGGGTATGTTTAAAATTACTTTTACTATATAAACAATATATCTGTCTTACCATAAATCTAGAACATATCTTGTATAATTGATCTTGTGGTACAGCAGATTTGACAAATACTTACTACACAGTCTTTTTACTCCTACAATTCGGACCAAAGTCCCAGCTACCACAAAAACTCCAACTCTCGCGGCTGCTACAATAAAGGTCCTAAGGTAAACGGAAAAGTTATCCAAATCCTAGAAAAAGAAAGAAGATTGCTTTTTATGCAGGTTGAATGGTGCACTTTATCAAATCGCTTATTTAATTCCCAAATGACGAAGTATTTATAGATGAAGATTATGGGAAGCTTTAAAATTTTTAGTTAATCCAAACTTAATAAATCTACTTTGTAATTGTCTTTTGTGTTCATTATCACTTTTTTGCTACTTTAGATAAAATTCAACATTACTTACCACTGAACATTCTTGACTAGAAGTAATATTTTTTGGTTTACTCATCTCTCCTAGCATTACGCACATGCTACTACTGGTACCGTTGTGGTTGTTTTGGTAGTCACTGATAGATTGAAAGATTCCCGGAAGCCAAAACTTTAACGTGTTTAAACTAAAAAGAGAAAAACATAACTAACAGGTTTTCTTGAAATAATAGTTACATAGTTCATATAGAAAAGTAAGTTAGTTATTTTCTTGCAAGAAACTAAGGAGAAAGTATTTTTCAAGTTTTTCTTGTTGTATACGGCAGAATATTTTTAAAACTATAGACATCATTATTGTTTTCGTTATTTGGGCTTTGATTTTTTCTATTTTTCTTTATTTATGTTCTATAGCCTTGGTCTTTTTTCGTTTTTGTCTGGACCTTAAGCTTAAGCTCTTAAACTTCCATTTTCTTATATAATCTCTTCGATATGTTATTTTTGATGTTATTTTAGATCTTGTTTTATTTTTGTTATCCTTCATAAAAAACTTTAATTTTCTCTGCCTTTTTGGTAAAGTATTTTCCCAGATTATAGTGATATGCACTGATTGCTGTTTGTTTTTATCTACCTTGGTCCAATGATTTCAGATTTTAGATGTTTGAATTTTTCTTTTAACCTATAGAGTTTTTCCTCTATAGACGAAGATCTTACATTGAATGTTGATATGTTGAACTAAATTTTTTGTTTAGGTGATTTCTTGGCTTTCTCACATGCAATTAAAGCATTAGTTAAGTTGTAGGATATCTTACAATCTGATCTACTTACGTAGGGACCAGTTACGGTCAGATTCTGCTCACAGCTCTCAATTCTGAATAAGATGATACTGTTTTTATTTTGTTGTCCTCATATACGAGCCAGTAATACTATCGGATCTGTCTACTAGCATTCAATAAGGAAACCGTTAATAATCAATCCCTACAAGCATCAGCTGGTGTGGAAAACGTTGCTTGAAGTTTTCAAAAATATCGTATGTATAACCTAAACCAATCAAGGTTTCGTCCAAGAACTTAACCTTCTTTTTTATAATAGCCCCTAATTAGGTTCTTTGGGACCTAAGTAAATTTGAGAAAATAAAGCAGCTTAGTATTCTTGTTCTAAGATTTACTTAGTTTATATTTTACTACAGATCATTCAGTATATTTAAAATCTTTTTTTTACTTTTTTTACTTTTTACTTTTTACTTTGTTGGCTGCAGCTCTGAACAACTGTATTGAACTGCACCCATATTACTCCCTTACATTTCGCAACCAGGAAATCCTCCTACGTCCCACATTTCTCTTTTCCGAGATTTTTCCTTGGATTATGAGTCTAAGCAGAGAGTACTTTGATTTTTGCTGTTTGTCCACAGTATAACCTGGATATGATGTTAATATCGCGACTGTCGATGTTTTTGCTTCTTAGGATTTCATACAGCTTTTGGTGTTTGACTTTATCGAAGGCCTTCTCAAAATCTATGAAACCTACGTAGAGGTCTTGGTTTACATCCAAACATCTTTGAATTAACACACTCAGACCAAACAAAGCTTCCCGCGTTCCCAGTCCACCTCTGAATCCAAACTGTGTGGCGCTTATGTCCTCTTCTAATTTATTAAATATTCTTTTGTGAATTATTTTTAAAAATACTTTTAGTGTGTGGCACATCAATGCTATAGTTCTGTGATCTGAACACTCTCTGGCGTTATTCGTCTTCGGGATTGTGACAAAAGTAGAGGAGAGCCATTTCCTGTTCTATAAATTGTGTTAAAGAGGTTCACCATTATTTCAAGTGCGTCGTCGTCTATAAGTTTCAACAATTCTACACGAATTTCATCTGGTCCTGCAGCTTGACCCCCTTTTGTGTTCCTTATAGCATATTTTACCTCGCTTTTTAGGATTTCAGGCCCTGTTTGTCGTCTGTAGGTTCTGCCGCTGCTATTTCTGGTCTTTCGTCTGCAAAAAGTTCTTGAATATATTCTGTTCATCTTGTCAGTTTTTCATTTAAATCTGTAATTATTTTACCTTTTTTGTCCTTTACGATGGATGCATGTTTCACTTTTTTACCTGTTATTTCCTTGATCTTTTTATGTTTTTTTTTATATTTAAAATATAATTTCTCAATAAACATATACGCTATACATATAAATATATTTAAACATGCATCATAGCAAAATTTTTATGACATAAGATTACAAGTTTTTACAAAAATTTATTAAAATAATATGACCACACCGACAAACTTTGAATACGATACAACAGAAAATGCAAAGTAGCTGTGTCATAAAACCGTGGTAGCAATAATTTACAAACGAAGTATGTTCTAATTAACTCATACTAATTTCCAATATACAATGGTGAGTGCTTTACCACCCGGCTTTTTAACGTAAGAGATAGAAAACACAGTTACCTTGTGAAATAAAAGAGATGAAACTCGTAGAGGTAGGAAATAATCGATAGAAACCTATAATTTACATTACATTGCATTAACACTATCGATAGTCTCACACCTTTAGCCGTTAGCTTCGAGCTAAATCACCACGGTCATAATTATTATGTGTGACGTATTTCAGTGACATTTTTTAATTTCGCATAAAGCAAAAAATGATTGACCACAATAAAGCAAAAATGTGAATAAAATAAATTAATTAATAGTGATTATTTAATCTAAAGTTTTAAATTATTAACCAAGAATACTTTCTACTATGATTTGAGGAGTTTCATACACTCTTGTCACGGAAATAAACATCAGTCCTTCGTGGATTAGTGGTAAGAATTCGACACTGCGACGCAGACGATTAGAGTTCAAAACCCACATGTTTTTTTTTAATAATTTGAAATTATGCAGAGATCGTTTTGATTTGAATCACTAAACATTAATGTCAGTCGTTACTAGTATTAGAAGTGTTTAAAGTTAAACATAAATATCTTTTTGAATTTGAATTATTTTGTATTTCCGTTTTATAACATTGGAATAAGAATAAATTGTAAATAATGAGTTTTTCGAAAACTTGTTACCTAACATGTATCATATTTTCTATTATTTTTTGATTGAGTAAAACAAAAATTTTATCCTTGGTGTGAATTGAACCCCAATCTTCTTGTCAATAGACCACGTGTCTAAGTATTACACCAACTCCACATACAATAACTGTTTTGGGACAGAACATACCTACCTTTAGTTTAGTCAAATATTTCAGTTGAGTTATTTTTATTATTAAATAAACTTAAAGATTTATAATTTAAAATTGCTACTAATTATTGTTTTTTACTTTAATTCTTAATTTATTCAATCATTTATTCTTACATCAGAAATTATTAAAATAAAATATTTTCGCGGTCATCCGTATAATTATGACTAAAGTCAAATAGCCACGTCTAAGAACTAGCTTTATCTCATTCTTTCTCACAAAATCCGTCTTCTATCCTTTCCGCTATTTTGCCGGGTTTTAAAGCGACTTTAAACACTTCTAATACTATAATAACGTCTAAAGGTGTGAGACTATCGACGGTGGTAATGTAATGTAATGTAAATTATAGGTTTCTATCGATTTTTTCCCACCTCTATGAGTTTCATCTCTTTTTATTTCACAAGGTAACTGTGTTTTCTATCTCTTACGTTAAAAAGCCGGGTGGTAAAGCACTCATTACTATATGTATATATGCAAATTCCGTTAAATCTTACCTCATTACAATAGAAAATGCATTAAAAGAGGCCAAGATCATATTATTGATATGAGGTCTATTTAAAATTGTCTTCATTTCATCCCACCCACTTTTTAAGGCTGTCGTCATTTCAATTCTACTGGAGGTGAAATTCTGTTTTGCTTCGTTAATAAGTTTTTTCACCTAAAAACTGTATATTATGAATAATTCTACATATGGTTAATTGACGTTAATTTATTGGGAAAATAAAGGGATAAAAATACTCATAAGGGGTTTTAATTTGTAAAGTGAAAACACCACGTTTGTTCAATGAAAACACATTGGGAAGCTATAGAAGTTAAGCACGCCATACACACTACGGTCTACCGGAGAGGTCTACCTGTGCAGGTAGACCTGTACAGGTCAACAAAACGCGGTAGCATGTATGGGGACTCTCTGGTGTACCGGTGCGGTCTTCAGTTACTTTAACGATGACATCGATTGAAGACGATGACGTGTTAGCATTGTTAGGCCTTGTTTTAATTTTAAAGACAAAAGTTAAAAAAAACAGTGAAAAATAAGCGAAAAAAGTGGTGTAGGAATTGGTTGTTGAAAATGAAAACATACAGTCATGTTAACTTATTGAATGAATTCAAATTGAACTAGAAGATTTTAAAAACTATCTCCAGATGGACGAGAAAACATACATTAAATTACTTAAAATGGTTACTCCCATGATAAAAAAGAAAGACAAATATGAGAAATAGTATTTCTGCACATGAAAGATTATATCAGTTACGTTGAGATTTCTCGCAACTGGAAGAAGTTGTGAGAATTTAAAATTCTCAGCAATTATTTCATCTCAAGCGCTTTTTTATCTCGATTATGGTAATCTTTGTTTTTTATATCCCAAAGACATGGATAAACTCTATAAATTTCGATAAATTCTTCAAGCGTTTTTTTAGTTGAAACTGGTGGCACCATTTTCTTGGGTTAATTAGAGTGGTGTGACAATACGGTGCGAACGACAAGACGACCTTCCCAGAGAAACACTAGAAAACAACTGACGCGACCTGCGCAGGCGGCCGGAGTACACGCACAGACGCACAAGTACATCGTACGGTGCAACTCGAAAAAATTAATTTTTGATTTTGCTCCGGTTGCCTGGGCAGGTTCAAAAAACTGCACAGGTCTATTTCCACACGTTCCGGTCTACCTGCGCAGGCATGCCTGCACAGGTAAGCCTCTCCGGCTTAGTGTGTATGGCGTGCATTATAGAAGTGTAGCTATAGCAATATAGGAAGTTTTATTCAAATGATTTAAAAAAATCTCCATCAGTATTAACATTTGAATCCCATTGTTTAATTAATATGTAAACTGCACTCATTACTTCAATTATCTAAAAATATTGTATTTACATTATCATAAGTCAAAACTGTAAACAAAATATTCTAAGACTTTACATGAAAGCGCTTTAAGAGGTAACGTATTAATATTGCAATTGCTTGAGACTATGAGTTCAAACGTCAAAATTAATTACTGGCTATAATTACTGGCGTCGAAAAGATTACGCTCTCCTGACTAGCAATACGAAGGTGTAACGACAAAGGGAGATACAAAAAACTGTAACGATGCTTCCCAGCACCACTTGACGAGACCAACTATTCACCTATAACATCATACATCATATACATCAATTAAATATATCTAGAAGAAATTAGCAGACCAAAATCAGAACAGCTTTCTAAAGAACTGACAGAGCACAACGTGGACGTCATAGTTCTTTAAGAAACACATGCATCATTTTAATCCAACCTCCTTTAATGAGGAAAAATTCCGGTGTAACGTTAAATTTTTACTCCGTTAAATTTCTACTCTAGAATAAAATTTTACCGTTATAATTTTACTCTAGAGTAAAATTTAACGTTAAATTTTTACTGTGTGTAAGTAGATACTCTATGCCATTCCTGGTGCACTTTGTGGTGGGAGAAACCGGTTCCAATCAAGGTCAGTCAAGGTTAAGCCAAAGTCATGCAAAGTTCAAGTCACGCGAAGGTCATGTGAATATCAAGGTCACGCAAAGTTCAAGATCGGACAAGTTTAACACAACGAAAAAGTTGCCTGTTGTGCAAAATAGGATCAAAAGTGGTTAGACTGATTCGAATTAAGGTTGGATAAGTTCAGGATCATTTAAAAGTTACCTGAAAGTCACAATTTACTTGAACGTCAGGATAAAGTCACCTAAAGGTTAATTAAGGTAGCCTTAAAGATACTTTAGAGATGTAGTAAGACTAATGTCAATCAAAGTCGTACAAGTTTAATATCATGAGAAAGTTACTAGAAGGTTACGATAAGGTCACTTAAACGTCACAATTAAGTCACCCGAAGGTTGAGTTCAAGCTAACCTCAAAGTTACGTTCGGTATCCATCTTAAACAAATATCACTTATCTGTTACCACGTACTTAATGATTCATTTAGTATCGCAGTACGACAAACGACATTTGTGTAATTTCATCGTCCTTGATGAAACCTTTATAACCACACTGTCATAGTAGTCACTGAACGAGTTAATTTAGTACCAGGTATACTGATTTCTGAAGATCCTGCTTAACCTTGTATAATTTGATAAATTATACCTCAATCATTTTTAATATAGTTCCTTCTAAATTTTTTAAATAACGTAAATATAACTGCAAATTTTAGTAACGCCGCTGCGGCAAATTTATATCTGTTTTATCTCGAAATATATTTTTTTACAAAATTGCAATTACAGTAAACTTTTTTAAGTTTATTATAAGATAATTTGGTTTGGTCTATTCTGCATTTTATTGCCAACATTGTTTAATGTTTACTCTTACCAGTTATTTAAAAAGCCACTTGAAAAACAACCATATGGAATAAATATCAAATGGGGAACTACTTAATGTGATTAGATATGCACACGATACAGTAATTCTATCAAATAATATTGAAGGTCTTTAAATTCTGCTTGATCATATTCACGAGGTAGGAGAGGAAATGGCCATTAAAATAAACTCAAACAAAACAAAACTGATAATGGACCAACTAGATCGAGACATAGAAATAAAACGTAGAATAGAAGAATAAATAAAATGTAGAATAAAAAAGGAATGGTTAAGTGCTATGTTTGGTCCGTACTTTTGTATAATGCAGAAGTGTGGACGCTAAAAGTATCGACCATGAACAAAATTAAAGCATTGGAAATGTGGGTTCATAGACGAATGCTGAAGATAGCTTGGACAGCAAGAAAAACTAATGGAGAAGTACCAAGGAGCGTCAACAAAGATAGAGAACTGCTAAAGACTGAAAAACATTGAAAAATATCTTATCTGGGAGATATAGTAAGAGGAAGTCGATATAAAATATTACAACTGACCCTAAAAGGTAAAATAGAGGGCCGTAGAAGTGATAACTATTTGTATAGTTATTAGTGTCAAATTATTAAAAAGAAAGATAAAACATAAAATGTATTTATTTACAATTATAAATTTTCAGCATATCTGTTTGATAAGAAACAAATTGACAATTTAAATTCTCTTTCTGTTTTGTAAGCTGCTTTTGTTCCTCAAATAATGTTTTTTCTCTTGCCCCAATCTGTTTCGTCTCCTCCGCTACGGCACATATCTTGTCGTATAATAACGACCAGGATTGTTGGTTATTATACGACTGATTGTACCTTTCAGTCATCTGCCTGTTGTATTCTTCCAACTGCTCCATGGTGACAGTTGTCGAATATGACGAAGCTGATGGTCTCGAGGAAGTTGACGACTCTGAGCAAGAGGACGGTCCCGACGCAGAGCCCTCAAAGGGCCTCAAGAATTCCTTTAAAAAATCTTGCGAATCAATGTTGGTCAAATCAATCTAAAACAAAAAGTACATTAGAATAATTTATTTAAAATTAAGAGAGAATGTAAAAGCTCCTAGACAGAGTCAAAGAAGCTTCTAAACAGGGTTAAATAAAATGGAAAACAAAGAAATAAAATACTACAAAACAAAAGAAAATAATACAGTAAAATAAAATCAAAAATACTACAATAGGCGACAATGTTTTCTTGTGACATATATAATTTATTATGTTTTATATAATATTGAGTCACAAGTAGTGGTATAAATATCCAAACGTAATCTCAATAGAAAAATCCAACATATACAAAAATCCAGAAACACAAATACAACAATAATACAGAAAATTAGAAAATAACAATAAATCGTACACAATTTACAAATAATGAATACTTACATGAGTTTTCGGCGGTTTCGTCAAAAGCTTTTCCAATTCCGACACTGTTTTCTCTATTTTCGGCTTTTTAATTTGCGTATTTGAAATAATTTTAATATTCTTAGGCATTTTGTTTACTGTATTCACAGACTGATAATGTAAGGGAACATTTCGGCTTTTATATACACAAACTTGTTTTAAAAATGCATTTGAAATAAATCCCAATTATCCAACCTACCTTAACATGCCGTAAAGATGCATTCACAATTATCGCGAAACAAAGACCTCTGACGTCAGAAAATAATAAACTTTACAAATTATTCCCAACCAAGCAAGCCTTTTATATACACAAACTAGTTTTAAAAATGCATCTGAAATGTATTCCAATTACCCAACCTACCTGCCGTAAAGACGCATTCACAATTATCGTGAAACAAAGACATCTGACGTCAGAAAATAATAAACTTTACAAATTACTCCCAACCAAGCAAGCCTTCTGTAAACTGAAGACAACCTCCAAACGTGATTTTGCTATAATTTAAGTATTAAAAATTTAATAATTAAAAAGTAGAAATTTCCGTAATTGCCGATACATGCATCTACAATTATTATACTTATATACGTTTATAATCATTCCTTTGTTTTTATCCGTGAACGCGAGCCGTAAATATATCCTTTGAAAAATGCCGGAGAGAATGCATTCTCTCCGGCAAAAATTCTTTTCTCAAAGTGTAGTAATCCAAACGCGATCAAGTATGCATGAATTTTAACAAATATAGGGAGATTCAAGTAGGTAATTAAAAAAATAAGAAAATTTATAAAAATAATAGTCTCCAGTTTTATGTTGCTAACAGGGCATTGGGGTTATAACAGGGTAGTTTTTTGCTAGATCTAGGGTCTACGGTATACAAGGAAGATAACAGGGTCAGTGCTACGCTTCAACCGCCTATAATTACCTCTGGT